CTCCAAGAGATTAAGTTACTCGTCAAAGACTATATACTGGGCAGGCAAGGGGCAAGGGCGGGACTCCACTCCGGGCACGTCTGCCCCCAGGGCCACTACGCTCATAACCGCTATGCTCCGTGGCCTCTCTAGCCCCTTGACACGGCTCACAGGCCTCTGCTGAGACGGTCTGACCTGCAGTTCTAGTTCCGGAAGTACGCTTTCAGGACAGATGTCCCTGCAGGAACCCTCTGACAGCTTCCCACTGCACTGGAATTGAGGGGTTCATTTCAGCTCCTACCCCCACTGCTCCTTACCTGCCGGCCACGCCAGCTTCCTTTAGGATCCTGGGATCCTTTAGGATCCAAGCTTTCTCCCACCTTCCGGCCTCACCTCTGCCATCCCTTCCAAGTGGCAGGCCTCAGTTTTGCATTTCTCATAGAATCTTCTGGTCCTTCCTTTGCATGGCCCTCTCAAGAGAGGCCCTCCCTAACCAGCCTCGAGGTCCTTTCTGCTAGTTATTCCCTAGCACGGGACCTTGTTCATCATCTCCACAGAGCTATCTCAGCGATCCTAGGAAGGTCCATTTACGTCCTTACCTTTCCCGTTTCTCTCCTCTCCCGCAACTGAAAGCAGAAGAGCGAAGACCAAGCCTGGCTTTATCACATCCGCGCTCCCAGCACTGTGCCTATCATACAGCAGGTGCTCAATACATGCTTGAATGAACAGATGGATTTCGCCGAATGGATTTCATAAATCGATTTAAAAATCAGAATACAAGGTTAGGTGCGTGTGGCACACGGTATGGCTTATATAAAGGTCAAGAGCCCCCGTGGATAGGCTGGGAAGGAAACCGGAAGTTTCCTGAGGATGCCTGGTTGCCTGGTAACTCCTTAGGGTGTTTGGACAATGGGTTGCTTTCCCCTGCCGTGACTGCCCGTGCTATTCGGAAACAGGCAAGATTCCTTTCAGGAGGCTCCAGTGCCAGTCCAGGTGGAGCCTGGCTTCTCCTGGAAGCCTGCTTGTCCTCAGTAGGCCTGTTCGTGAAGGTGCAGAGAGTCCTGCCTGGATGGGGTCCAAGTAGCCAGAGCTGTTTCGTACCCCCCAAAACAGTGTCATCACATGAGTTAAATAAGCACTGGTTTGAATAATTCAAGGTATGTTCCTCAAATCGTTGTCAAGACAGAAAACGCCTACCCCTTGCCGCCCCACATTAAGAGTTATATCTTGATATTCAGCAGCTATAACAGGGCGACAGCCAGCTCTCACTCACTGAGTGCCTACTCTGCGCCAAGCATGGCGCTCTATGCCTTATGTGCATGGTCTTATTTGATCTTCGACGGCCTTTGCAAAACCTTTTAGAACCATTTTAAAGTTAGCAAGGCCACTGCTGGGCCTCACAAGCATTAAGACTCTGAGAAAGATCACAAAGCCGATTACTTCCAACTACACCAGAGACCGCAAAATCAAATGTCAATGGGGCCAGGATGCCAGAACGCAGGAGAGCACAGGCTCTATGTCTGGGGGCTGTCCTCCCCCACTCAGATGGAGAAGCTCACAATTAGCAATGGTAGCAACCCATCCAATTAAGAGTAACTGAAGTCCTTATCCATTACAGAGACATATTTATAGATATATGTCTTCCATTCATTTTAATACACTGGACACAGAGGGAATATTTTAAAAATGGTGGGGCAGATAAAATGAGACTTAGCAAAAGTGTAATAACTGTTGAAGTTGAAACCTGGGTATATGGAGGTTCATGTTGTTCTCTCTAAAAAGTCTAATCTACTTTACCTAGTCTTACCTATCTTCCCTTCCCCTCCTCCTTCCTTTTCCTCTTCCCTCTGTCCCTCTCCTCCCTCCCTCCCACCCTCCTTCCCTCCTTCCCTTTCTTCCTTTCCCTCCCTCAGTTTTTGTTTGTTTATTTGTTGCTGTTGTTTCTTTTCCTCCCAATATTTTAAAATGTCTCTGTACTGTATTTTGGCTTGTATCATATCTGACAAGAATCTTCTTCCTTATCTTTGTTCTTCTGTACATGTTGTGTCTTTTTTCTCTGGCTGCCTTTAGAATTTTCTCTTTATCTCTACTGCTGTTTCCTTCCCTCCCTCCCTCCCTCCCTCCCTTCCTTCCTTCCTTCTTTCCCTCCCTCCTTCCCTCCCTCCTTCCTTCCTTCCTTCCTTCATGGTTGCCAGTTTGGACCCCTGCCCCACTCCACTCTCCTTTCCAGTGAAAACAAATACAGCTTTAAGCACAGTTTGCTTCTTTCTGGAGGGATGCTGGCAGGGTAATTGCGTCTTTGATATTGTCAGAAGCCACACCGCTATAGCTTACCTGCCACACCTGGCCCAGAGGCCTGCTGCTGGTCAGCAGACAGGTGAGATGGCTTCCTAGTACTGTTATGCTGTGGTTCCTTATCAAAGCGTGACAAGTTTAGTAAATACACTCTAAGTCACCTCTTCCTGCTGTGTGACTGGCATTCCTTTAAAGCCTGTCAGACCATATCGCCTTAGATAAAAGTTGACCAACCCCAAACATTTCTCCTTGAGTCAGTTTTTTTTTTTTTTTTTGGTCTGAAAGACAAAAAGCTAAGCTCATAAGAAGCGTACCCAGCTTCCAATCATTCTGCAAGTATGAATGCCTTCACCTACATTATGATGCTTCCTTCGTTTTCTATTCAAGAAGGCATTCTATGAAACTCAAAGCATGCTAATTTTTCCCCAATGAGGGTCAAAAGCTCCAGTATTTAAAAACAATCACATACACAAAAAAGGTCAACAACACATGCAGACCTTACTCTAGTACCTTGTGTGTGCAAAGCCCACAATTCCTAGTATTTTCTGGACAGCCCTCTTCAGCAAAGACATAACTTGCAATCAGGCTGGGTAAAGAGAGACAGTCATTCTTTTCTTAATGGCCAACTACCCAAAAAGTCTCAGTTAAGTGACCTCGACTACTAAGCTAATCAATTAAATGGATAAGTGAAATACTTTCAACTTTTATTTCAGTAGGCCATTCCTGGGAGGGGAAGAAATGTGAATTCCCAGCATAATTCCATCTCACAGATACAAACATTCTTGCTGCCCTGATGGAGTGGCCCTCTTTTTTAAAGTAAGCTGTTTCCCTCTCTTTCCTTGAATCAGAAAAAGACTGGTTATGGTTCTCTCTAGCTAACTTTGATCAATTTCAACCCTTACAGAAATCCCTGTGGCCATTTCTCAAGGGTAAAAGGCCAAAGGAGATGGGTGTAGAGCACAGAAGGGACATAGCTTCTCTGTTCTTCCAAGAAAGAGAAGGAAAACAGAACATAAACAAGGCAGAAAAAGAAGATAGACAACGAGTTAAACCATAATGATCATTTACTGAGCATCCACTATGTGTCAGGCAGTGTGCTCTGCTCTTTATACACGTCGCCTCATTTAATTAATGGGTGACACTGACTAAATTTACTGAGAACAGGTACATACTAGGCACTATGCTTGGTCACGTTCTATTTCATGTTATATTTCACTCATATGTCAAAACAACCCCATTATTACAGAAGATCATCCCCATTTTACAGGCAAGGAAATGGACACTTTGGGAGTTTAAGTCATTTGCTCGGGGAATACAAAGCAAGGCAGGGGTATCCGGCTCAAAAGCCAAACCTCAGTGATCTATATCACGACTGCTGGTCATACGACTGAATAGTTTTGTCAAAACTCATTCAATTGTAAACTAAAGTTGGTCAATTTTATGGGTGTAAACTATACCTCATAAAGCTGATTCAAAACAACAAGGACCCTCTCTTCACTATACGAATGGCCATCTGCTGTTCCCACTTCCCTATTTCTTCTTGGTGAGTTTTCTTTGAGAGCTTTCTTCCTCACTCTCAAGTGACAGGCCTCAAAAGGAACAGGCCCCACCTCTAGCTCTAGGGCCAGGCATGTGACTGCAGCCTAGCCAATCAGTGAATCTCATTCCTTTGACCACTAACTGGTTCAGAGACAGTCATATGACCTAAGCTGGGCCAATGAGAACACTGCCCTGAACTTCTATAAAAGAGAATGAGAAGCTCTGTTCCTGTCAGGGCTGCTTAGCTGGTTCAGCATATCTTGAAGCTGATGATGGCCACTGTCACTACCCGGTGAGAGCCCTCTCGCAGATGAAGACAGAACAAAGGAAAGCAGAGCTGACAGATGGAGGGTGGTAGCTTCCTGATGACACTGCTTGAGCACCTAGATCCAGCCATTCCTGAAGGTAGACTTTCCAGTGACACCGGCTGATTCTCCTTTCTTTTTCCTTAAGCCAGCCTAAGCTGGGTTTTCTGTCCTTTATGATCAGAGTCCTAATATACCACAAGGCCTTTAAGAAGACCACCTTACCTACCCCATAGCAAATGGAGGAGAGAAAGAGCTATACAGACACGAGCAGGGTTATAGGAACATGACCCAATATGCCTGTTGTCCCCCTTAAGTCTCAGCCTCCTGCTGCAGAGGTGAGCACAAAAGGCGCTGCATGGTTAAATAAGTAGCTCAAGGTACAGATTGAGCACATGATTTTCCAGCCTCAAAGCCTTGGTCTTTACCTAAACACTGGTGATTTGCATTTTTGCAAATTAGCAGCAGAATCCTTTCATTGCTGGAGTCATACAGAAAACGCTTAATACCCAAAACCAATCAAACTGATGCTGCTATGCTTCCACGGAGGGCAGGGATCCTGGAGGCTGAGGACCCCTAAGCCCCCTGCACAGATATCTCAGCAAACCAGTTGCACAGCTCTGCCCGGACTCCAGACAGTAGAATCCACCCCTTTACAGAACACACTCGGAGCTGGGAGTCCAGACAGTAGAAAACAGGCTGATTTCAAAGTTCCCAGAATCTAGGGCCCTTTCTTTGAAAGTTTTGTGAGGCATGTACACTGTTAGCTCATGGTCACAGACCATCAGCAGTACAAAATGCAGGTCACGCGCCGACCCTCCCAGTGACGTGTGAGTCAGCATGGCGCGTCCCTCCCCTGCTGTGCCTCGGAGGCCAACTCACTCAGATCTAGGACATCGTCGGTTTTGATCAGGTCCTCTTCTCGCGTCAGTGGCAACTGGGTCTCGGGCTCCCCTCGCAGTTGCAGTGACAGGGAACGGAGCATGAAGAACACCCGGATGGCCTGGATGAGCAGTTCAGAGAGCAGAGGGTGAGACTGCAGTCGTTTCGGTGAGATTCTCCACATGGAGAAATCACACTGTGCCGCTCGGTTAAAAACAAAAAACAAATAAACAAATAAAACGAAGCCCGCCTCTCCCCTTCTCCCAGTATCATGGTTCCGGTGCTTTGCCTCCAATCAGTTATCCATGGATTCAGGTTTCGACCAGTTGACCTTGACTGAGCACCTGTCATTTGCCAGGCCCTTCTCCCTGGTGTCATGTGACCTTCATGACACCCCTGCTCAGCAGGCAGCCCCGCTTTGAAGCCAGGGCACTGACACCCAAGGAGGTGACGTGACCTGCCCCAGGCCACACACCCAGGAAGGGCTAGAACCAGGACTCTTCTAACCAAAACAGCACGGAATTTGGAAATCTAAATCACGAGGGAGTGTTTCAAGGTCCCACCGCTTGAATGTAGGGGCAGTGGAGACAGAGGGGGTGGTTGCTGGTGGGGTTCAGAGCTGACCAGACTCAATTGAAACCCTCTCTGCCCCTCCCTGGACGAGCCCCTTCACCTTGGAGCCTTGGGCCCTTGGCCTTACAATAAGGGGTGTGCCACTGACGGGAAAGTGGACCTGGCACCTGGCAGGTGTGCAGTGACGTCAGTGCCGAGTGCCTCTCAGGCCTCCCCAGACAGCTCTCTGGAGGCAGAGTGGCCCTCTCAGCACCAGGATTCCTGACTCATACAAGAGGCTTCTGGGCGGAATCCAGCATGGCCATCGGGCATTTCCAGAAAGCAGAAAAAAGCAGAATCCCAGGCCCCAGAAGCCAGAGAAGTTTGTGCAGAAAGCAGCCTTCACCTGGGGCCAACTTGCCCTGGTGGTACCCTCCCCTGGAGTCCTAGGTAGGCGCTGACTTGTCTACCAGCCAGAGACCAAGAAGTGGAAGGGCAGCCAGCCTGCAGGAGGGGCCGCCTCCAGGCCCCCATCCTTGACCTTGGCTGGCTGGCCTGCCTGAGTGTGTGCGCCTGAGAGAAACAGCTCTGGAGTCGGATACGCAAGGGCTACCTGGACTCCCAGCTCCACTGCGCTGGGCACAGCCCCTGGCCTCTGTGCACTTCAATTCCTCTCACCTGTGAAATGGGGGTGGCACCTCTCAGGGCTGCTAGGAGGTTCTGAGATAATGCTGGTGGAGTGTGTTCTGTAAAGGGGTGGCCATCTTTTACCCCAATCACTTGACATCTGGGCATGGGGGAGGGCATGGGGACAAACCACTGTCGCCACTGGTGAGCACACAAAGATGAATTCCAGCCCACTTTGGGTCTCCTTGTTTACAGTTCTGAGGGCTACAGGCGTGGCCTGCCGAGAGAAGAGGCTGCCTCTATACCACAAGGTGCTTCCCGAAACAAGGAGGAGGAGACAGATTACTGCCCGCAAGGAGCCAGGCTTGCACTGGCTCCTGATAACCCAGGCAGCAAGGATGCCCATCGGCACGTCTAATCCTAATCCTGCCTTGGCCTGGAACCATGGGACACTTGGGCTAATTAATCTAACGTAGAAAACCAGAAGAATAATCCTACTTCCTGCACCTATTCTGAGGTCATGATTCCCCTTTGTCAACCATAAGCACTAGAGAAAGATAAGCTTTTATATTATAATACAGATGATGGTGGTGGCGGTGGTGGCAGCGTTAGTGCTGATCTGATCTTAGTTTTTTAAGGTACGGTCTTCCTAAAGACAACTGCAACAATCAGAAGAAGAGAGATAATTTCATTTAAAAAAATCGAAATAGCTTTTATTTCTGAAGCTCCTACTGGGTGTCAGACAATGTGGGCAACTTATTGCAATGTAAAGATTTTATGCAGGGAGAAATGGAGCTGAGAAAGGCAGAGCAATCTAAGTTCACGTGGCTGATGAGTGGCTGAGCCGGGGTTGGGACCTGGAAACATTTAATACTTGTGTCACTTAACCAGGCTCACATGGAAAATCAAATGCCCGCACCAGCCCAAGTACAGAAAGCCTAAGATGAGGGTGGGCACTTGAACTATTTGGCAGTCTGAGCTCTTGAAGAGGGAGTCATGACCTTGGAGATGAGAGAAAAAAGAGGAGAAAGGCCCGTCACAGTCAGGTCCATAGGGAGTAGATGCTTGATTTCTGTCAAAAATCCACTCCTGGATGTGGTTCCATAGTGTAGCGGTCAGTACGTCTGCTTTACATGCACAAAGTCCTGGGTTCATGCCCCAGTGGAGCCATGGTCCATGGTCTATGGCCATCCCACCCTGAACAAGCCCAATGTCTAATCCTGGAAGCTAAGCAGGGTCGGGCCTGGTTAGACTTGGATGGGAGACCACCTAGAAAGACCGGGTGCCGTAGGCATAAATAATAAAATAAAATTAAAAACAAAACATTCCTCTTGGGGTTCTGAAAGCAGAGAAATCAAGCAGGACCCTAGTCGGGGGATGTGGAAAGAGAAATGCGTGTAGCTTTTTACAGCCCATTGCTCTGAAAACCAGAAACCTTCAAATATAAAAGGAATTTGGAATCTGGTTCCTAACGTAGACCTTTCTGGTAAAACATTTGCTTTTGCTTTGTGAACAACAAATGGAAGATATTTCCAGGAACACAAAATAATAAAATAATAAAAAATATAAAGCAGAATATAAAACATATAAAATAAAACCCCCAATAATACTTTTCCTGGTTCCTGCCCCAATTTTTAAGAGAAAGAAGAGTGCAAAAGAAGTCCACGCCCATGAACGTGAGGAAGGTAGATTCCCACAGGGCCGGGTGCTCTACCTGGGCAAAAGCTGGGCTCCCACAGGGTGCTACAGGGTCCAGCAGGCATTTTGACCAGCGACACAACTCCAAGAATCCATAAAAAGAAGGTAAAATACCAGAATAAAGGCCGTCAAATTCATCCCTAAAACAATGGCCAGGTCCTCTGCTTATCCATGGCCTGCTGGGTACGGGTGGGGGCTGCACCATGTCATCTCATTCAAGCCTTTTAATGACCTGTGTGGTTCCCATTTTACAGACAGGAAACCAAAACCCAGGCAGGCTGCCCAAATGTGACTCAATTAATAACTGGACTCCAAAGTCTATGTTCTTCCAACCACAAGCGTTTGCCTTCAACAGATTTGAGGCTTGGGACCCAGGCTTTTATTAAGTGCCTTCTTTACTTTGCTAAATAAACATGCAAATCAAACAGTATTATTAAAAAGGAAATATTATTCTTTCAGATGCTTCCACAGAATTCCAGGAAAACAGACTCTGAAAGAACAGATTATGATTAGATTTAAAAGGGGCTGACTACTGACTAAGCTCAAATATCAAGAAGAGACTTCTCCAGTTTGCTTCAATGCACCTAGGAGCAAACTCTGGCACGGAGAGTCCTGGGGAAGGAGTCCAATGGGTAGGGCAGGAGGACGGACGGCTTCAGATTCAGGCAGACCTGGCTCAGCCTGGGGTCAGGTGAGTCCCGTGAATTCTCCAGGCCCAGGCTCAAGCTCTAGAAATGGGGACCCACCACCTCTGGTCACAGGGCCACCATGAACGTGCAACAGCACAGTGCAGGTGACACACCGAGCCCTGGAGCTGGTCCTGGATCAAATGCTGTTGGAGCTCTCTCCCCTGCATCCCTTGCTGCATTTGCAGGCTGCTCGCTGAGTTTAGGCGACAATCACTCAGGGTTAGTAGCCCACCGAGGCCGTGGATGTGGCCGTGCACAGAGTCCTGAAGCAGTTTAAAGTGGGCACAGCTCATTGGGAAAGCAATCTGGCAAGATGCGGAGAGTCACAAAAAAAAAATGTTCATACCCTTTGAACCAGAAATTCCACTTCTGGGAACTTATCCTAAAGAAATAAGCCAAAAGAAAGAAAACACTGTATTTGTGAAGCGGCTCATTACAGTTTAGTTGAAAATAATGTAATACTGCAAGCAACCAAAATGTCTACCAGTACGAAAATGCCTAAGTAAATGATGGCAGAAGTCAGCAGATGAACTTTTATGTACCAGTAAGAAGTCAGACTTATTAAAACTGTATTACCACATGACAAACTTCTTGCTTTACAATGGAGAAAAAGAGAGTGAGGATAAAGCAAGGTCATGGTACGCTCTCCCTGCAACCATGAAAAGATGTATTTGCAAAAAAAAAAAATAGGGAGGAGTCACAAAAAATGTCTAAGTGTTATTTGTTTAGGGTGATGAAATCATGGAAAGTTCTTTCTCTCTACTTTTGAAACCTTATGAGATGCTATTGTATTTTCTTTAATGTGTAATACACATCTGAAAAGTAAAGCAAAATATCCTATTTCCTCAAGGACGATACTGATAAGCACAAAAAAAATGTCTGTGCTTTTATAAGAAAACAGGGAAACAGAATGCAGGGATAAATAAAACTTCGTGCAAATACCTTTATTTCATAATGGCTTCCAAGATTCCTACATGTGACTAGAGGCTTATATTCAGATTGTAATATTCACTACAAAATCCTCTTCCTATCTCTCTTTTCTCTAGCATTAAGCTTCAGGAGATTTAGGCCATGAAAGACTCTTTCTTTCCCACCTAAGATGCTAGAATGCTCCACTGCTGTTCAGCCAACATCTGAGCATTTACTGTGTGCTAGGCACTGAGCTTGTCACCTCACAGTCGCTCTTTCTCATATACCTTGGACAAGAGCCGAAAGGCATGATACACGAGGAAGCTGAGGCTCAGGAAGGTCAAGTTACTTGCTCAAGGTCATACAGCTAGAGATAGTAAGGAACCTTGGTTGGTCTGACTCACGAGCCTGTTCTCTCTTAACTGCTTCTCTCAACTTCCCCTAGACGTTGGGTGAGTCCGGCCCAAGCCCGCGGTCCTGTTCACAGCTCTCATTCGACCCCAGCAGTTCCAATGATCCTCCTTTCAACACAAATTTCCCTTCTATTCTTCTGTAAGGTTTGCACCTCCTAACTTTCCCATAAGGTAGGAAATCAATGAAAAACCGAATGATGATGCTTGTGCTACCTCTACGTGCTGCTGAACTCAGAGCTGGGACCTGTGTGGGCTGTTCTGCAGAGGGTCGTGTGGGCCCAGTCAGCTGCCACAGCTTAGTGGCAGCACTCTTGCTATTTTGGTCTTATTTTAATTTTATATTATTTGTTCACTGCCTATTCTTAAATCTTGCACGGTGTATGGCACCTAGAAAACGCCCAACAAATATGTCAAGCGAAAGAATAAACAATGTAACTTGCAAAATGCGAGAGGAAAAACGTGACTTTATTGCCTCCCCATGGCCTGCAAGGCCCTGCTGCCCTCCTCTCCTGTCCCCACCCCACCCCTCCTCCTCTCCCCTTGCTTGCTCTTCTTTAGTCACCCTGCTCCTTGAACACACCATACGCTGTCCCATCTTGTGGGCTTTGCATGCACTGTTCCTGTAGTCTGGAAAGCGCCTCCCAGAAGTCTTTGCGAGGCTGGCTCGCATATCGACCTTGCTATCTCACTCTTTAGGTTCAGCTCAGAGGCCAACCTTGGTGGAGCACCCCTCCTGACCCCTCTATTTCTAAAGGAGGGCCACCCCTCTTTACTTCAGAGCCTTTCCTGCCCTCTAATACCAAACTGGACACTTGCTTATTTCTTAATCAACTTTATCTCTCTCGATGTCATGTGCAGTCCAGAAAACAGGGATGTCCAACAAGTTGGCAACGATTTACTAGTCAGGGTTGTTTGAACTTTCCTGACAAGTCCTTAAGGAAAATAAAGGGTGGGATTTCTGAAAAGCCTCCTAAAAGTTAGAAAAGTCTACTTGGTAGAAAAAAAAAGAAAAAAAAAAGAAAAAGAAAACCTTTGAATCCAAAAGGATGAAATGGAATGTTATTTGGATAGAAGCAAAGAACTTGAAACAAACCACATAAGCCCTCAATTGCTTGCTAAACCATACACTTCCTTCAGATCAAATTCAAAGCACACTGCTGTGTTCTGATGTCTGGGATGGGCTCAGGAGCTAAGTTTCTGGAGCATTCCAAACAGTTGCCTTGCAACAGGAACGGGACTGAGGTGAGTGGTGGAAATTCCCCTTTGGAGATGGTATTGTACACCTCAAACTAATATAATACTTTAAGTATGACGACTATACTTAAAGGAAAAAAAAAAAACCTATTCTTGAAGTCACAAAGGGAGGCTTCTCTTAGGTTGATGGCTCTGCTTGGAGGTGGCCAGCCCTGTTTTATATCACTCTGCCACCTAAACCCACGGACCCTGGGACAAGAGAGTTGCTTTTATGAACTTGTTACGTGGACAAAGGCTGACAGAGAGCCCCCAGAGAAGTCAGGACGTTCCCAGGAGCTCTGTCTGTGCTTCAGTTAGCAGTCTGGACCGTGTATATCATCTGGGGCGAGGGAGGTGGGCAGCAGAGCCGTAGGAGCCCACACCTAAGTGACACGTGAGGGGCACTGGGAAGAAGCGAAGCCCTGCAATCGAGAACTGCTGTCGGCCTTCTGTGTTTCTTCCTGTCACTGAGTCCTCACAATAACTCTGGCAAGGCGAGCGCATGCTGCTTTCTAGATGAAGAGAGTGGCTCAGAAGGGAGAAGGCACCCCAAAGCACGAGGAGCTCTCCCTCTGCCATAGGCCTCATCCCTGAATTCTCTCATTCTCTCCTGTGGATCAGGACCGCCTGCCCCAGGCCAGCAGAGCATGTCGGAATCCATTAACAATGCCAAGGCCGCCAGAGACACGGCTCCTCCAGCCCCTCCAGACCCATCCCTTCCTATGGCGTGTCTCTTGTTCTGGCTCCAGCCACAGTCCCCTGGAAAGGGCTGTATCTCTCTGGTGCCTGCTCCGCCTTCTTTACTAGGTAGGATTAGGGGCCTGATCCCATGTTCCTTCCCTAATGGCCCCAGCCACATGGATTGATGCTGCCTCTTCCCACCTTCCCCTCTAGACTCTGATTCCTCGAGGACTGGGGCTGTGTTTTCTATGTCCCTGGTATCCGGCACTGAGCGGGGCTGATAAACAGCAGTGGGGAGCAGTGGGGAGCAGCGGGTCAGTGTGACTGAGAGTGTAAGCTCTGGAGGCCACACCCCCTATGCTGAATCCTGGCTCTGCCACTTACTAGCAGGGTAACCTTGAGCAAATTACTTGACCTCTTCGTGCCCCCGTTTCTTCCTCGGTAGCATGGGGATGATAGCACCAGTCTCCTAGGACGGCTGTGGAATCACTCGAGGAAGTTCACATGAAGAACTGCTATGAATGATCCACTACGTAACAAAGGCCAGGCGTGCCCGTAAGTGTTAAGAAACCTGATGGACTGTGACCCAGAAAGCAGGCAGATGCGACCCAGCGCGGCGGCCCTCAGTGCTCAGAGGCTGAAGAGGACTGCGGGGACAGAGTCCTCCTGGCCTGGGGACACTGCAGCCCCTCTAGGTACACAGCTTCGCTGTAACTTTGCTAAGGAGCACTTCTTAGGCCAACCCAAGGCTAAGGGTGAGCGTGCCCATGTCATGGAGTCACTTGTCAGAACCAGTCCTCTTATAAAAGCCGACATCAAGAATGCCCAGTGCAAACACTGCCACCCACAAACATAACTATGTGCACACCGCAGGGCCTGCAGCACTGGCTGGGAGCACGAGGAAGGCCAGGGCGGGTCTTGTGGTGAGGCCTGCGGGTTTGGTCAGATAGCAGGGAATGTGGATTGACTTAAAGACACGTGTGTCCCACTTCCTCTGCCCCGCCAGCTTCCTCGGTCTGAGGTGGATCTAGCAGGTCCCTCCTGCTTCTCATAATCCAAAAGTTAAACACCTCGGCTGCTCTGGTTACACTGGGATTAATTCAGAAGAAGACGCAGGCTGATAACAGGAGCTGAGTTCAAATAAATTCCACTAATTTATCCACTAACATTCACGTCTCCAGGGAATGATTTTCTAGGAAAAGGTTATGGTGCTTTCTAAGAAAGAAAGTGTGATCTTATGAGGGAGATAAAATACCGTGAACAGCCCTGCGAGACTGCTTCAGAAAAAAAGCACTGATAACAGAAGCACACACTCCAGCTGGGTTCTGAGAACTAATCTGCCCTTCGTTCATGTCTGGCAGGCCGGCAAGAATTACCATTTCGTTTGCGTGTGCCTCACCCCAAGATCATGCAGATACCTTAACATCACACCATCTCCAGGGGTCCTGAGCCTATCTGGGCTAAGATTTCTCACCAGCCTCACCTGCACTGCGTTGATGGTGACGCTGCTCACTCCCCCACATCTCTCAGAAGCCCAGCCCCAGGGCTTCCTCTCCCAGAGCTCAGGGGTGGCCTGCACCAGCCACGAACGCAGCCCGCCTACAACCCACATCCGGTGCCAGGTGCGATGGGATTTCAATCCCTGCTTTGGCAGAGGGCAGCAGGCTTTGGAAGTTTCGCCTGGCGGCAGGATGTGGGGAGGCGCTGTCTGTCTACCCACTATCTGAACTCGTGTGGGACGGGGGGCTCTTGACCCGGTCAGAGCCTCGTCCCTTCCTTCCCTGGGAGTGGTCCAGCGCTCACTCACCCGCCGGGTCTTCTCCACGTCACCACATGGCAGTCGCTTCACAAAGTCTATGCCTGTCAGCGGCGTGCCCGTGGGGGGCAGCAGGATGGAGGCATCCATCATGAGATACTCCACGTTCATGGGCTTCATCTAGAAGAGAGACATCACAGGAGACCTCACTGAAGGGAGAAGGGGACCGGGCGCGTCACACAGGCCCTCGCATAGTAAATGAGCGCATGAAATCCGGATTAAGGCTGAGGGGAAGCCTCAAGGCAGGAAGGCCTGTGAGAGAAAGGCCTTTTGTTTTCTAAGGTGCATTTTCCTTCATTTGAAGTGACAGTTGAGACACTCTTGAGAAATAGCCTTCTTGCTACGAAAAGCTTTGCTTTCCCATCCTCATTCTCCCCTTCACCGAGCAGCAGGGCATGGGGTCCTCCGGATGAGGCCGGTCCCTTTACGATAGTCCCTTTAGGGTGGTCTGCCCGTGTGTGTCCCTGACTGCTGCCCGCCTCCTACTCTTTGTACTTCCGGGAACGATGACAACAATCGTAGTGATGGCAGCTTCCATTTAAGGAGTGCTGCCTACGGGACAAGCTAAAGGCTTTGCGTGTATGGTCCTGTGTCATGTTCCCAACAGCCGCAGAGGAGATGCTTCCCAATCTGCTAATGAGAAAACAGACTCAGAGAAGCCGAGGACTGGATCCGGGTCACCTCAGCTGGCTGACCACAGCCCAGACACAGACCCCCAATGACTTCCACCACATGACCAACATGCCCCCTTCCTTCCTCGCCCCCTTAGCATCTTACCTGGGGTAATATAACAAACCCACTTATTGAGCATCTACTAAGTGCCAGGCACTGCAGGGCTCACCTCGTACTGGACAGAGAATGCTGGTGCTGTCCCATATTACAAAGGAGAACACTGATCTCAGAGAAAGGGTGTATGCCCACAGCCACCGGGCCAGACAGGGCCAGAGCTGTCTGCCTCCTTCACACCACTTCCACGAAGCCCTCTCCGATTACTAAGGCACCTGAAACCATCACCTCTCCTCCTGAAACTTTGCTGCACCAGCACCGACCATTTAATGCGCACATATTGGACTTCATTTACGTGGCTTCATAAAGGAACGACGCTTCACAAAGGTGAATTTTCTATGAAATTAATTTTACTCCTTAAAGCATCATGAACTGATTTTTGTGTCTTTTTTAGAATGTGGGCTTCAATCGTATCACATTTTTTTGTCCCTCCTGTAACATAAAGCTGACTAAACAGGGCAAGGTTGTGGTGAGGGCCCGGCTGTCCAGAGACCTGGCGAACGGGCGAGGGATCGGAGGTGCCACTCAGCGCATGCCGCCTGCCTTTTACTTTTGGACACTGTAGGCACTTTCCTCCAGAGGCCTGTGGTTCACCATCCCAAATCCCTTTATCCCAGAGCAGGGGTGGCGGAGCCCCATTTCCTGCCTCAGAGCTGCCCTTGGCATCGACCCTCCAGCAGAGCCTACATAGCCCGCCTTCCGCACCCTTGCAAATCTCCTCCGCTCTGCTCCCACTGCCCTCAACCTCCTTCCCAGCAAGCCCATTCTAGCCGGCTGTCAGCGGGCACACCAGAAGGCCGCGCTCGCGCTCTGTATGCCTTTTGCATTAAAAAAGAGGTGATAAGAAAAATGAGCAAAGGGTCAAAAGCAAAGGCCTGGCTTTAGTGCAGGGGCCTCCGTGAGCACTTGAGCAGCACCCAAGGGCCTGCACTCACTACATTTACCTTGGTGGCTGGTTTCCTAAAGTCTGAGCTTAGTACTGACTTTCAGAAAATAGGACTGGGGCTGTGTCAACTTTGTATTTCTCTAGAATGCCAGGCACTGTGCAGGACACACAATAAACATGCGATTAAGAGAAATAAAACCCAAGAAGCTCCCTACAGTGGGAAGGAGAGAAACTGAATAGTCATTGTACAAAGACTATACAGGAGGCACCCCTTAGGTGTTTCACATCCAGCCTGGGCAGCTATGTGGCTTGGGCCCCATTTTACACACAGAAAAATCAAGGCTCAGAATGTCAGCAACCTGCCCAAGATGGCACAGTTCGTAGCAAAAGCAGAAACTCAGCGGGGGTTAGAAGCCTGAGCTTTTCAGCGCCATCAAGTGACATATGAGCCTTACGTTTCCAAACAGGAAACCAAACTGTGGGGAATGACATGGCAGAAGGGGACGTCACAGGGCTAAAACGATAGCAAACCACTGAATCCACTCTACTCTAATTAATGGTCCAACGAGTAGAAGACTGACACACTCTTCTGGGGGGTCGGGGATGAGGGGGGTGGCTGTGGCCAGCAACGGGAGTGAGGTACTCACAGGCACCCCTGCATATCACGGCGAGGTCTGGGCGCTTTTGCAGATGAATTATGCCAATTGATGCTTTTCCCTTGAAAAGACTCTGCGGGGGCCTCAGACGTGCTGTGGGAGTGGACCCAGCTGTGGTGAGGGCCCAGCTGTCCAGATCCTTGGTGACAGGCCAGGGAGCCAGGGAGCCACACTCACACTGCCCGCCTTTTTCTCTTGGACACTTTAAACACTTAGGCTTACTATAAACTCCCCAAATCACTTTACCCTTTGGTGAGTAATGTCGATGAAAAGGATCATTTGTCTTCTATTTATTGAGTGCCAACTAAGGGACAGGTGCTGGAGATGCAGCGACAAAGGAACAACACAGAAAGCTGTAATCTTCTGAACCTGTCTTTTCCTATGATTCTGCCTGCTGGATGGAGAAAGGGAAGGCTCTGGGCTGATGCTGCGGATTCAAGGAGGAGCTACATGCTGGAACATTCTGGTGGCCTGGCAAAGGAGGCAGCATTATAACAGAGAAAGGCAGGGGGCTGGGAGACGAGCTGCTCTGCCCCTCGCTGGCCAGGCACACGTGGACACCTCACTCAATCTGACTCTCGTTTCCTTATCAGTAAAGGGAGGCTAATGATAGCAGTTGACGTGGGGATTAAGAAATTTAATATACATAACGGGCTTTCCACACCTGACACAAAGTAAGTCCTCAATCAAATACTATTCACATCAAAGCGAATCTTTCTGACCCATCTCACGACACAGCCCGACTCAGGGGGAGGGAATGTCCTCTGAAATTTCCACGGTGGTGGGGATCAACATTTCCAATTCAGTCCCCAACCCCGAGTCTCTGCCATCCAGGCAGCAAGCCCCAAGTTAGAGTGCTCTCTCTCGGATCGGCAGGGCACGCTTTGGGGGCACACAGGTGCCTTCTGGCCCCTCACTTACTGTCATGCTCCTGTACTCATCTTCGAACATGTCCAAAAATATTTCTTCTCCCTAAAAGGAAAGGAAGGGAGGGTAGAGGAGATTATGCATATTTCTTTTCCATAAACAACAAAGTATTATAAACTTCAGTTCACGGCTTGTGGGGCCATCTGTTTCTCGTTAGTGAGTTCTCGTAAATCACCAGGAAGTAAAATGCACACGTGCACACGAACACACACGCTCAACCGAAAGCCCAGCTATCGAATTGCGCCTCTCAATGTTTTTCTCCCTTTTTAAAGCACATGTAGTTAGATTTCTTCTGTCAAGGCAATTAAGAAACACAAACTAAAAATAACACCATATATAATTAAAATATGACAACGGTTACTATGTCGAGTGTATAAGATCCTCTATTTGTTGAGAATGGCTGAAGAAATGGGGAACTCTGGTTAAAACTGTGAGGCTCCACACGTCTGAAAGGAATTAATATGCCTAACACTAAAATTATACAGCCTGTTCCGTTCATTGTTGAGCTGCGCCCTTGGGGTTTTTTGCAGTTCCTGCAGGCCTGAGGACCCTGTCCAGGAGGTTCCTCTCTGAACAGGGTGGTGGGTGTGAACTTGGCTCACATAAACCAGGGGCCGAATCCCAGCTTTACCTCTCAGAGCCTCTCTTTGTTTCGCTGCAAGACTGGGATGCCTGCCCGTGTCTGTGTGGGTCCTTGTGAAGATGAAATGAGTTAACGCGTATAAAGTGCTGAGCACAGAACCTGCCAATTGGTCAGGGCTGGTAAGTGTTAGAGCTCAGATCACTGCTGGATGGGTCCACAGCTGGGGGGTGGGGAGACTCAGCTGAATGCAACATGACTGTTGGAACTGTGCTGTCTCTCATAAATCCTGAAACAATCAATCTCTCTCTCTCTCTCTCTCTCTCGCACACACACACACACACAACACACACACAGAGTCTTGCGCTTGCATGCAGAGTTGGGATGGGAAAAACAATCGATCTTTTATACATCTTTCTAGTTATCAGAACTACAGGTAAACTTGAATATTCTTGCGTGCTGTATAACCACAGAATTAACCCCTGAAAACCCAAAAGCTTCTGATATTCCACTTGGGGTGTGAACCTTATAGGATAAAAGAGAGACAAATCTGAGTTGGCAGAAGAGAGCTGCGACTGAAATACAGCAAGTCCTCACTTAACGTAGTTGATTAGAAACTGCGACTTTAAGTGTGATGGCATATGACGAAATCAACTTCTCTACAGGCTCATTGATACAAACAAGAGTTAAGTTCCTACCACATATTTCTGATCACAAGACCACCACCAAACTTCTGAATAAAGACCTTAAACACTTCTAATATTAAACACTGAAATAAATGTGAGCTATTCATACATTTAAGAAAGACTAATAAAAACAAGTGAGGTCATTTTTTTCCAACCTGCTTATTCCAGTTCAGGGTTGCAGGTGGCCGGAGCCTGTCCTGGCAGCTCACACCGCAAGGTGGGACACACCTGGACGGGATGCCCTTCTATCACAGGGCCATTCACGCACGCCCACTCACTAAAACTGGGACTACTTAGACACACTGATTCACCTCACGTGCACATCTTCGGGATGTGAGAGGAGACCGGAGTCCCCAGAGAACACCCACACAGACGTGGGGAAAATGTGCAAACTCCACACAGGCAGTGGCCCAGGCTGGGAATCCACTTTCTTCTCTCATTAATGTTATAATGAAGTGACACTGAATGAAATGATGTTATCTAATAAGGACCTGCGTATAGCTCTCCTATTAATGATAAAGAAAAACCCTCTGGGAAAATGCCTACTAATGTGTCCTTCCGTTTTTGTGACCCGAAAGCTTTCTAGGGGGGAAATACACTGAGAACAATTATACTGGAAAGAGATTCAAAGATGACTAATGCAACCGTGAGGTTTCTGCCTATTTCTGGGCTTTGCTACAGGACATATGTCCTCACTTGGTGGCCATGTGTGGTTTGGGACGGTCTAAGGGGAGACGAGGATTTCCTCGCCAGGGTGTGGGGGCCTACAGTGGTGCCACCCTCATCTGGGCATGTCCACCGTGTTGCTGCTGCATGGGGGTCATCTGACCCCTGAGAACTGGATTTCTAGATTATGTGACCTGGTTTTATCTCAGTGAACACGGACAATCATGGCCAGCGGCTTAAAGAGCTTCCCACATAGAAAAAGGTTGCTTGCATATATGCGTATAATCCACAGCAGTTTGGAGAGAAAACAGAAGATGAAACACAGATAAACAAGGAAATGGCAGCACCGACGCTTTTACTCCCCCTGAGAGGATCTCTCCATCGGTCAGACTGAGAAGGGAAACCATCGCTAACGGGATCTGGAGAGATCTGACGTGGGGGCCAAAACATCAGAAAGCAGGGATGGTTTGACTGTGGATTAATCCACTACTACTGACAAATGACGAGCCCCGCTTAAGAATATGTCATGCCTTAAGGTTAAGAGCAAAATGAAACCATCACGATGAGATATTTTAATACCAATCATCTGGAACTTGAAGCCGAATCTACAAATTTTTCAGCTACTGAAAAAGTCATGGTGGTCCTCGCCCAAATCTCCCTAAACCCTAATGATAAATGTTTGGAAGCCTGTATGAGATTTCTTAGCATACACGTATGTAAGTAATATATATGTATGTAATTCATAAATTCATATGTAATTCAAAAGTATAGTTGATCCTTGAACCATGAAGGTTTGAATTGCGAATGTCCAATTGTATGCAGATTTTTTTCGGTAAATATCTGTACTGTTTTTGACTCACGGATGGGAGTCTGAAGCTGCGGAGGGAGGGCTGGCTATGTGTGTTATCTATACCATTTTATATAGGGGACTTGAGCATCCTCAGATTTTGGTATCTGTGGCAAATCTTGGAACCAATCCCCCACAGATACCAAAGGTATTTAAGTTTTGGGGGAGTCAAAAGTTATATACAGATTTTCAACTATGCAGGGGGATGGGTGCCCCAAACCCAAGTTGTCCAGGAGTCAACTATAATTTTATATGTATAAGCATATGTAATTCATGAGCACATCAGTTCATATGTATAATTTAGTCACATGTACAGGTATGTATATAATTCATAATTTACATGTGACTTCATCAATAAACAAATTCATATCTTATTGATAAACAAACTGTCACATACTAGGGGTGAGTCCTCAAAAGCTGTCCTGATAAGAGCATGGGCAGAGAAGTTGAGAGACCACCGGGGATCGTGACCTTCAGCATTTCACACGGGCACCGCGGCAGAGAAATAACTGAAGACGAGGAGCCTCTATGTGTGCAGGGCCAGACACGACAATCCTGCACATGCCACACACCACACTGCTGTCCCCGTGCCCTGCCAATTTACCTTATAGAAGTGCCGCACGAGGTGGACGCTTTCTTCCCTCGCACCCTGTGGAAGAGAGGGAGGGCGTGAGGGAGGCAGGGCTTGTGGAGGCAAGTGAGCTGGGTAATCACAGTTCCCATAATCTGAGTGTATTTGACAGATGCGGGGCTAATATTCTTAATCTATAAAATGGTGGAGAGAGAGCTCAAAATAAAAAATGGGCAGAGGATAGGCAATCAATATGTCGACATGGAAAGTTGTCAATATACAGTTAAGTGTGTGTGTGTGGGGGGGAGGGTTATAAAATATGGGTCCAGGATGGCTCTACTCTTATTTTTAAAATTATTTTTAAAAATGTGTGTGAGTGTGTGTGTATCTAGAAAGACACATACCAAAGTATCAACTACAGTTGCTACTTTTGACAATTGCACTTTCTAAATTTTCTAAGATAAACAAAAAAAAGTTGAGGGGGGGAACAAAAGCTATTTAAAACAATAAATGTAGATACTAGCACGATAAACTTATCAGTAAATGTGTGTGTACATATTTGTATATGTATAAAACTTTTATAATATAAAAAGAAAAAAATTTAAATCCTAGAGAAAAATAAGAGTCAAATAATTGCAACAGAAACTACCCAAATTCACTAATTAAATGGGGGCTCATCAAGCCGGCCTCAACATAAGGGAAGTTCTGTGGGGACAGGTGGGTCGCAGCGGGCGCCAGGGCCCAGCTTCTCCTCGGCGGTCCCGTGGACGCCAGCTTCCCTCTGTCACTCTCCTGGTGGCAGTGGCTCACAGGCACAGGGTGTGGGGAGGTCCTCACCTCCAGGCAGGCGAGATGCACATCCTTTATGATGCAGCCCGTGCTGGTCACGACTTGCTGCTTCAGGAGCAGGCAGCTCAGCTCCAGCGTCGCCAACCGGATCTTCCCATCTATGGAGCACACAGGGTCAGCCTCACACGCCCAGGGCTGCACGCCCTTAAACAGTCTCCGGCCTGACTTTTAGGTTAACGGGTCAGCTAGCCGATTCGGCGGACAGCTCAAGGCCCCTTACACCCAGTGGGGACAAAAAGGGAATGCCACATGCTAATCCTTTCCCCGGTGAATTACAATTAAATATTCCCATCGAAACTCCATGTGCCCAATACTGCCCTGCAGTCTCTACGTTGGGAGAGGGGACGCAGGAAAAAGGGGACAACTCATTATTATTACTGAAGCCTAGGAAGTGGACATCTGTGGTTGCTTTGCTTGTCCAGCGTTCCTTCTCTTCTTCAGGAATGAGCGCCGCCCCTCCCCCACACCAGTTCCTCTGGAGAAACACCAGCCCCACCGCTGGACATGTGATTTGGGTGAAGCTGGTCCCCTTTCCCGCATCTGGGGGTGGGCACATCACCCAGGCTGGTGGGGGTGTGCTATTCCCCTGGTCACAGTGACTAGGGTAGGTGTCGGGCAAAGGAGCCGGTCAGAGCCAGTAAGACTCAATTCTAAAACGTGCTCAAACAACTGGGCGACAGACTCTCTCCTCGTGCTGGGGTGTGGAGAGGACAGGGGGCAGTGGCGGGACCCTGAGTGGCGCAAGCGTTATGGTCCACAGTGGCCACCTCCCCCACTCACTGGCATTTTCAGTCTTTTGTCGAGTGTTTTGCAAAGGGAGCCCGAGCCTCCCTTCCCACCAGGTTGCCTGGGCTGTCTCTCCTATGGCAAGTGTGGGGCTCCAAGGAGAAGGGAGGGCTGGAGGGGCTGGCGGTCACCTCGCCAATCAAGAGTCCAAACACAGTATTGACAACAGTTTGAGGCCCTGGGCCTGAAGATGGGGCCCAACAGAGTGTGGGGCTCCAAGGAGAAGGGAGGGCTGGAGGGGCTGGCGGTCACCTCGCCAATCAAGAGTCCAAACACAGTATTGACAACAGTTTGAGGCCCTGGGCCTGAAGATGGGGCCCAACAGAGTGTGGGGCTGCGGGACCCTGAGTGGCGCAAACGTTATGGTCCACAGTGGCCACCTCCCCCCCTCACTGGCATTTTCAGTCTTTTGTCGAGTGTTTTGCAAAGGGAGCCCGAGCCTCCCTTCCCACCAGGTTGCCTGGGCTGTCTCTCTTATGGCAAGTGTGGGGCTCCAAGGAGAAGGGAGGTCTGGAGGGGCTGGCGGTCACCTCGCCAACCAAGAGGGCCATGGAGTCCAAACACAGTATTGACAACAGTTTGAGGCCCTGGACCCACCCAGCTGGGCCTGAAGATGGGGCCCAACAGACTTAAAGTTACACAAGCCAACAGTTTTGTTTGTTTCTGTTTGTATTGTTTCAGCCGGTCCGAGTTGGGTGTCTGTCAATTGTATAACCAAGTTCTGAGTGACACGGGCTTGCTATCCTACTGTGAAGCCAGGCACAGTCTGAGTGCTTTATAGATGCTCTAGTACAGACACACCCAGTGTAGTGGGTGCTCTAAAGACTGAGATTTAGGGAAGTGAAGTGACTTGTCCAAAGTCTCATCCTGGGCGGTGGTGGACTCCAGACGCTATGGTGCCAAAGGTCACAGCTGACATCTCTCCTAGAAGCATCTGTGACTGCCTGACCGAAGGGTAACCTGCTCTTACGCAAACTCCTCCCTGGGTCCTTAAGCTCATTTCTGGGGAGAGGCCACAATGTGGAAGAGAGGCCAGGGGAGGGGGACGTCTCCAGGCAATATCCCTGAGGCTTGGAAATGTCAGGGACCAGGATGCGCCGCTGGGAAACACTCAAGGCGGAGAGACCACCACACACCTCCCCGGCCATCTCTGATGCCTCAGGTGTCAGGTAGGGAACAGAACGAGAAGACAGAATCATTTGTTCAAAAATGGATAGGCCATATGCAAGCAGAAGCAGGCCTTCCTAAGCATGATACAAGCCCGGGGGGCATGTGGAAGAAGGCTGGTTGGTCTCAGCTCAGTTATTCTTCCAGCCTCAGCCCCCCCACCCCCCGCCCGACCCTGGCCTAGCACTAACCCCACTTCTGTGCTGCTGCCCCGCCCTAGCGGCACCCACCGCCCGCCCTCCCTGGAGTTCAGTGGTTCCCCCGGAGCCCACCCTCACTCCTGCCTGCACCTCCACCGAGCCACACTGGTGGCCAGGTCAGAAACACCCCTTCTGCTGCCTCCAGGAAAACAACATGATTTCCCCCTCAGACCCTTCTCCCTTCGCAAGCTCCCACCAAGGGGCTGACTTCCTCCCACCCAGCTTGTCTCGTGGGAGAAACAGAGAGGGCAGCAGGCTCCTTGGTCCTCATCGCAGCTTCCAGGCTGTCCCTCTGAGCTACCCCAACTTCTGCTCTTCAGAAACCCAGGCTGTTCTACACACCAGCCCTCCAGGGCCCGCTGTCCCTCCCCACCCTGCATCCCTGGGGGAGTCCACCTTCCTCCACCATGGAACCGCACCGGCTCACACAGCTCCTGCCAACCTCCCCCTTGGCCACCACCCTTAGGGACACGCTGTGCCTCCACGACTGGACTTCTTAGCAGAAACTGAGCCTGCCGAGCGCCCCTTGGTCCTAAGCCACACACATCTTTCTTGCCACCCAAGACACCCCCTGTAACTCCTCTTCGTCCCACGTGGGGCCTGGCTCAGCCTCCTGTGCTGGTTACCCCTCTAAGTCACCTCCAGATATCCGCAGTGGCCCAGGGCTCGGTCCCAGACACGCCTCTCCTCTCCTGTGGCGTCAGAAACCACCTACATGTCTGTGAGGCCCGCAGTGCCCGTTCTGGCCCTCAGTCCCCTCTGAGCTCCAGATTCCATCTCCACATGGAGTCCTAGACTGCTGGGACTTCACAGGCCCCCTGCTGTGGCTGCTGTACCCCCACTGCTCACACAGTGGCTGGCTCAATAAACATTTGTTGAGTTTCCTGATCCCCTACTGACACCTTTGAGGCCATGAATCCAGCTCTCTAAGCCCCAATACTCACTCCCCAGCAGTCCTCTGTGCTTTTGGCCACCACTTGGAGCCCTTTCTCCTAGACTTTTCAAGTCCTCCTATGCAGTCACAGCCCCGGGCCCCACCTCACCCTTCTCCTGGGCCTGACCCGGGCCTGACCCGGCCCCATCCCCTGGATTGCTCCTGATGGCTCAGCTCAGCCATTCGCCCTCCACCAAGCTGCGTCTGTCAGGCCCCTTCCCTTCCCGAGCGCTCACTCACGCCCTGACGGCCTCTCTTCCTGCCTTTGCAGAGAACCTGCCTTGCAAACAAGGTTTCCTCGACCTCGACACTGTTGACTTTTTGGGCCAGATAATCCTTTGCTGTGGGGCTGTCCTGTGCATTGTGGGATGTTTAACAGCATCCCTGGTCTCTATCTACCAGATGCCATGTGCATCGCCTCCCCAAGTTGTGATGACCAAAAATGTCTCCCGACATTGCCAAATGTCCCTTGGGAGGCAAAGCGGCCCTACTTGAGAACCACTGTGCTAGGTCATTCTACCTGCTATTTCTAGCCCTTGCTGTGGCTGTAGATCGGTTTTGGCTAAAACCTCAGAGCTAGGCTGACAATGCCAGGCACTGCGCACATCTTGTATTATCAAAATCACCCGACTCCGCTGAGAGGAGGGCCACAGACATTGGGCAAAACTGGCAAAAGAAGGGCTGGGTATGGAAGGAGAAGAAAGACAAGGCCTGGCACAGGCTGGCACACACACTGCGGTGGGTGGGAAAGAGAGGAGACTGGAGATGAAGACGTGGCAGGACAGGAGGGTATGGTGGCCCAGGACGCTGGTATGGGTGGCAGAGAGAGTGGTCGAGATCTTCTAGGATCCCCGGATGGGCAGATCTAGAGCCCACGGCTCCTAGTGCCTCGTGTGGGGAGCTGGACCCTGTAAACTCCACCACCCCTGCAAACAGCCAACACGCCCCGGGCACCTGGCTGGGCAGCGTTGTTCATGATCCTGATGAGTCTTTCGGCCAGTAGGTGGTTGTAGGTGGTCTTCTCGGCCGCACTGGGCACTGGGAGCTGGATTCGCTCTAGTTTTTCAGGATCCATGCCTGGAACGGAGAAAGGGGCAAGCTGGAAGTAAGGGCGGCCACCTTATCGAGAGCCGTCCTCATCCTGAAAGGCTCGATAGAACAGGGCTTCCTGGCTCTCAGCCAGCCTCGGTCCATCCTCGTGGTTCTGCCGTGGCTGAGTGTGTCTGTACTAGAACCTAACCTCCACCTCAGAGTTTTCTGTAAATGACATTTAGGTAAATATATTAAAATAGAAATTTTCTATCACTATTTGTAAGTGGCAGATCGGCATTGCTGAAATATTGAGAGTAACTGTCAGTTAAAAAAAAAGAAAAAAGAAAAAAGAAAAAAGAAAACCAAACGATGTTTTTACATTTTAGCCAGACTGTTGACGGGCTGCTTACTGGGCCTGAGGCCTGCTCTGTCTGTGCTAAAAAAGGGAGCTTGGCAGGTGACTTAAAAGCTGCTGAAGCCACCCTAGTCCCAAACGGTGACACGCTCCTGGACAAAAGCAGAGATAACAGAACGGGAATGGAAAAAGGGTTAACTTTCGCACAGTGAGCTTCCCTCCCATTTCACACCAGGTCTGGGTGCCATCGGAGGCCACCCCCGTATGAGACATATGCCACAACGGCAGGGGTCACAGACCTAGAGAAAGAGAGATCAGACTGGAAGAAAACGACAGTCATACCCAACAATCTCACCTCAAGGTCTTAACACCAAACTCACAGGGCTGGGTCCACCACTCAACACGTACATGGGCGGCAGCGGGCACCACGCTGGGGCGGGGTTACCACAGAAAGGTGCAAATACCATGAACCCCATAGAGTGGCTCTGTGTCTAAGAGGCAACCGAATCATTTATTCTCCAGTGAAAACTCACAGCTTTGAAAAGACAAAAGACAAGACAGGACTGGGGGAGGGGGGTGGGGTGGAGAAGAGGGAGTGTGCAAAGTCTCACCGTGAACTATCGTTTTTCCTAAAGCGAAACCTGCAAGCTGGGCTTTGCAGGTCTTTCCCTGACAGGAAGTCCTGTCAGGGCTACCTCGACGGGCCAGGTGTGGGACGAGAGGTATTCCAAATCCTTATTCTCTCATCTGACATGGCTCTGGCAAAACACGCTTGCAGAAATAAACATTTCTCTTGATCCGAGCGCAGAGAGCTGAACAGATTGTTTGTGCTCGAAGCACGTCTTTTCCTGTTATTCTACAAAAGGGGGGAAGGTGGCACTTCTGGGAACTCTTGAAATACGGCCCCTTGAGTACTAGATGACGCTTCATTTAGAACCTTGACAAAACAGTGGAGGATAGCATTGAAGAGCTGATTGTCTGGATTCTAAGTAACTCCCCCCCACACACATTGACGTCAGAAACCATAACAATATATCTTGTTTTATTGAATTCCTTCCAGCTCCAAACCAGAGGCTAAGTCACGCCAAGGAGATGACACGGGTGAGGGACGGCCTGAGGGTCTGAGTTGGGTAGTTCTCTCTCTCACGTATCACCACAGTGGCTTCGGTCAAAAAAATGTGATTGCAACGAAAATGTAATTTGTGGATTCTATCTCTCATCTTGATGCAAAATGTCTACCTCTGAAGCATTCTGGTTTATTAAATGGCAAGAACGTCAACTGAATCTTTTTGGCGTTTGTTTTTTTCCGGAGATATCAACACCGTCCTAACATCTCTCTTTATCATTTCTGTCAGTCAGTGGTTCTGGGGGAAAAATGGCTCCTCAGCCTGCCCAGCATATCACCCAACTTTATGACCTGATCATCTATCATTCCACTTCAAAGAGTACGGTCGGCAGAGGGAGCCCAGATGCTGACGTCCTTGGGAGTGTGGTGGCCGCCAGCAGAACCAGAGACGCAGACTCAGACCAGTGCTGGGGTTTCTATGGTGAGCTCCATTTTCTTTCCTTCCTGTTATTGCCCCCGCTCTCTTAGAACTTGTCGAAAAGGATGAAATCTGGGGCAAAATCTCTCGACAGGAAAACAAACACTTCAAGGTTATCCTGACCTTCCTCAAGGTCCGCTCTCTGTGAAGAGGGGCAGGGGACCCTGGGGGACTGAAACACTTCCAGAACGTCACAAGGACAGATTCCAGTGCAGCCTCTTCCGTTTGGGGAATTTAAGGCCTAGAAATGTTAACTCCCACCCCCAAGGTCACAGAGCACGTGAGAGTCACATCTGGAACTGGGATGATTGCAAAGGTGGAGACGGTCCAGTTGGGGGGTGGTACTGCCTGCACCCCCTCATAGTGAGCTGACCATGGCGAGCAGTGCACAGGGGTCCTGCTTCTGTGCTGGCAGCAGCCACCACCTCCAAGGCTTCATGGTGCCCTGGGGCTCACACTCTGCCAGGGACTTTCCACACTGCGGTAGGATGGAAGCGGCAAGGGCTGGGTGCAGGGTGCGGAAGCAGTTGTGTCTTGCTACTTAACCTCTTCGACCCTCGGTCTTCTTACCTGTGCAATGGGGATAATTACAGTAACTGTCTGTCTCAGGTGTGCTGTCAGGATCCAGGAGAAGCACGCAGTCACGGTTCAACGACTATAGCCTGCTGTTAGCAAGCACTGGTGGCGATTTTTACTTGGAGCGTGGCTTAATGCATTTCTGTATCATTTGTGTTGTAAGAGGAAAGAAAGAAAGAACACAAGGACCAAAAAGGAAACCATACAAAAGCTAAAATCAAGCTATTTGAGAAGGCCCAACGAAGGCATGCTGGCCGTTAGGGGGCCGGCTCAGGGGACAAGCTGCTCAGGTTGGATTCTGAGGGACGCGTGGGATTCTGCCCTAAGCTGCACAGGGGGCCAGGACTTGCCAGGCCGAGGTGCTACAGCAAAGAGTGTGGCAGAGCTTGGGGAAGGTGGGGCGAGGGGCTTTGGGAGGAAGTGATGAGGCAGATGCTCACAGAGAGGGGAGGGACAGGCAAAGCTTGGAAGTCAGGATCCCTGGAGGGCAGCTAGGGGAGGTGACGTGACCTGGTTCTGCTCTGGCTGACTCTGAAGTGGTTCTCCCGGCCATCTGGGGTGATCTCCACGCTCTGGCCCTTTCTCCAAACATACTTGATATTGTAATGTGTTCTACGTGAGGTGGATTTTAACATCGGCCATGGAGACAGAGAGCAGGGCGGATTCCACACAACATACGGCAAAACTTCTTAGAAAAAAAAAAAACCCCTCTGAACGCCGCATTCTGTCCCCAAAGTGCCTCCTGGGCCAGGTGCCTTGTTTCTTCCCCCATCACTCTCTTTCTCCACCATGGCCTCTAAAACCCTTCTATTACTTTGAATTGTCCTGGCCTGGCCCCTGGCTGTCAGGGCCTGTGCAGTAATTCGGAAGCTCCAGACTTTCTTCTGGGTCCAAACAAAACAGCAGCTGACAGTTGTGAATGAATAACATCAACGTCACACTATGACAAGGATACGCCTGTGAGAGGGCATATCCATAACGTGTGTATGCGCCTCTGTGCGTGCGTGCGTGCACACGCACACGCACACACAAACACACAACTAGTGTTTGGTCACTGATAGGCAGGCTCTGTTACAAACCTGATCGAGTTTCTTTGCTAGCCATTTCCCCCTGATTGAAATAAACTGTGGATAATGTATTGTCCTATTTACTTCAACCCTTGAGTGCCAAGCAACAGACAAATTCCAAAGAAACCCAGATGCGCTTCATATGGCCCGCGAAGATGCACCAGCAGGCTTCCAGCAGACCGCATGCTTCCTTGCTCCCTTCCTGCCAGGGTGAGATCCTGCCCGAATGAGTCAGAACTGGTCTCCCCTTTCCATTGCTTCCGCCCGGCATCTTCAGGGGTGGGGGCGGGGTGGGGGTGGAATGCTCCCAACTAACTAATTCGAAATCCCGAGTAGAAAGAAAGACTGGCTCTGTGATGTCAATGACTAGTTACTAAGCCTCCCCCCTAAGTCCTGATTTCTGGATTCTTTCTCATTAGTGGTCGCCCCCAGTCAGGTAAGGGGTAGAAAAGGCCCAGACTGAAGTTATGTAAAAAGAAGTAGACAGTCGAACCCGGACAAAGAGACCACAATGATGCTAGGTAAACAATGGTCAAAATAATATTTTTTTCTTTTGACCATGCAAGGTTTCCTTGGCTGTAGTCACGCGAGCATTGCCAACTTTGGAAAACTATAGACCAACTATTTCAAAACCTAAGCAGATGTTGGGCCGATCTCCAACGTACTTCTCGTTCTGACGATGTGTCAGTTGAGATCCAAAATGATGTTTTGCCAGCTCTCTCCATGGCGAAAGCTTCCCTTTATCCTATTACCTTTCGACCTTTCCCATACCTCTCTCATCCATGTTCCAGTAACTTCTCAGAAAAAAAAACAAAAACAAGCCAAAGATGCCTCTTGGGTAAACAATGATAAATGGAGGGGCAGGAGTGGACAGTGGGTGGAGTGGGGGAAACTTTAAGAATATAAAAGCTGCAACACTCGCCATCCCCCGCCCCCCCGGGCCAGAGCTCTGCAGACCTGACAAAGGAGAGGAGGCTGCATTTTCTATTACAGATATAACCAGAATTCATTGTGGCCCAACTGAATCATGACAAGCGCCTTCCTCCAACCAGTCAGCCCTCTCCACTGTGGGATCTTCATTTCGGTGCAGCATCTAATCTATTATGATTTACTGGAAGGCCTGAACTAACATTTGGTTTTTATTAACATTGCTTTTATGTTAAAATTGTCTTATAATGAAAAATCTATCAGAAAGAGACCATTTCATTAGGGGGCCTGCTTGGAGGGTACAGACTTGGAAAAGCGAGGCTGAAGGTTTGAAGAGCAGCTAACTGCCTGCTTCTTAACCAAAAAACCAGCCAACCCCCACCCCTGCCGCCATCACCAACAAATCCCCAGCAAACGTGGACCTGTGCCCACAGGCCAGGACTAGAGCGAAAACCAGGTGGCAGCTCCTCCACTGGGAAGTTTGCCCTGAGAGTCAGGGTGCCAAACTTAAACTCTCCGGCTCCCTCTCCAAACCTGCTCCACGCCCCATGCTCGCTGGCTCTAGAAATGGCGTCGCCAGCCACACAATGGCAGGAATCAGAGATCTGGGCATCAGTTAGACTTCTTTCTCCCTTGGTGCCCCAGCCATCTAAAGCAAGCAGAATTTCCCAAGCCTGTAAGCCCTTTCCTACCTCAGGGCCTTTGCACACACTGGTTCCTTTGCCTGGAGAGCTCTTGCCCCAGAACTTTGCAGAGCTAACTCCTTGTCACTCTTTGGGCCATGGCTCTGCTGTTCCTTCCTCATAGACGCCTTCTCTGACCACCCCGGCTAGTAACCCCTGCACTGCCACCACCGGCTCACTTTTTTTCACTCCACAATCACAACTTGTCTTTCCGTTCACTTGAGTAAGACTCGTCAGACTCATTCCAATGCCCACAATGGCGCTTAGCATGTAGATATCTGGAGCTATCTCAGCAGATATCTTGAGAACGATGAGAACAGCTTTCGGTTTCACCTCAACACGGCCCATAGCTGCCCAAATCTCCATCTCACTGTCTTCTGGCTGAACTATTGTGAACCAACTCTGAGGGATGCAGAGAAGATCGGATCAGTTCCTGGCTGAACCGTCCTTCAGCTCATAGGATGCAGTCCACTGCCACTGCCCACCTACTCCCTGAGGACTGGCTCCAGCCTGCCACCTCTCAGAGCACCTGCCCACCAGGGGCATGCTGCGTGCCCACCTGATGAATGAACGGTGAGCTTACAGACGCATCACAGGCTCTTATACTCCTTTTGCACGGCCCTCTGTCAGTGATCCCCTCGATCTTCTGGCCCTCTGTCCCCCGCTCCCTGAACTCTCGGTCCAGTGTCCTTGAGAGGTCTTTCCTGATGCCTGCAGGCCGGGTCCACATCCTCTTGGGTGAGGGCCTTGGGCAGCTTGGAGTCTGCAGCCCCATGCTGAGCACACGGCCTGGCATGCAGTTGGTGCCCCACGTGCATTTGTCGAATAACTACACGAATAAATTCATCATGATCTACCTGACTACATGGTCTTGGAACCAGAGAAGATTTCAGACAAAACAGACAGTCATTTTCAAAAGAAAGCAAACCCACGTAAGATACGTAGATTACACAACACCTCTCTGCCTGAACAGCCTTCAGAGCTTCCCGCTCCACTAGAATACAAGCTAAGCTCCTCAATGCCACGACGTGTTCCCGCTTGCCTGTCACACTAACCTTCCCCTCACACCACTCTCAACTCGCTCCCTCCACAGCAGCCATTTGCCTCCAAGAAAATATCTGCTTACTTCACCACTGTATTCTCAGTACTAATCACAGTGCCTGGCATCTAATGAGGGCTTCGAAAATATCTCTTAGAAGGATGAATGAATAAATAAATGAATGGCATTAGTGGGAAATGGTAGGAGGAATTAAATGCCCTCAAATGTTCAGTTCCACCCTTTTAAGAAGAAATCCCTAGGAGAGAAAGGCAGGCTCCTCAGGCAGGACCTCAGGCGGGGCTGTCTCTCTGGGCCACAGCACCGAATGGAGGAGCACTGCCACGTGCGTGTGCAAACCGTGACTTCTCCAGTCCCTAGCATGGGGCTCCAGGAAGGAAGCCCATGGGAAAAGCCAACCACCAGCAAGACAGAGAGCTCACTCATGTGCCCCTTTGCCCCCTGGAGCCTGGCGTCTCCACCCCCAGACAGCATCTTCCCTGCTGAGGCCCTGGTACAGGCTGCCAGGCAAAGAGCAGCCTGGGGGAGCAGCCACAGGGCTGAGAGGCGATCAATCAGCCAGCTCTGGCTGAGTAAGGACCAGGTGCTCAGGGCTCCAGGGGGCCATCAGGAGAGACGTGGTCTCTCTCTCTCTCTACCTTCAGAGGCCTAGCAGTTCAGAACAGGAGAGGAAACATGCAGAGGAAAAAAGGTATAAAACATGTCATGGGAATTTGCTGGAAATTAAAAACGTCTGCTCTTCAAAAGACATTTGTTAAGAAGATGAAAAGACAAGCCACACACTGGGAGGAAACTTTTGCAAAACTCATCTTATAAAGAACTTTATAATGTGTACCTTTAAATGTCTACCCCGAACACATTTAAAAACCTCTTAAAACTAAACAATAATAAATGACATTAAAAAATAGGCAAAGGATATGAAAAGACACTTCACCAAGAAGATATGCAGATGGCGAATGAAGCACTCGAAAAGATATTCCACATCATTAGTCATTAAGGAAATGCAAATTAAAATCACAACACACCATTACATAGGTATTAGGACAGGCAAAATGTAAAAGGGGGCCATAGCAGACACTGGCAAGGACGTGAAGACACTGGAACTCTCATACACTAGTGGTGGGATATAAATTACACTGCCATTTTGGAACATGGTTTGGAAGTTTCTTGAGAATAAAGAAACATACACTTGTCATATGATTCAGCCATCCCATTCCTTATATTTACCCAAGAGAAAGGGAACTGTATGTCCATAAAAGACTCGTACATAAATGTGCAGAGCAGCTTTATTTGCAATGGTCGAAAACTGGGAACAACCCAATGTCCATTAACAGATAAATGGATAAACAAGTTGTGGTACATTCGCACAGAGGAATACTATTCGACGAGAAGAAATGAACTAGCAATGCACACAATAACATGGATGAACTTCAAAAAAAATTAGTAGATTGAAAAAGGCCATACAAAAAAAAAGAGTACATATTGGATGATTTTATTTACATAAAAATCTAGAAAATGCAAACTAATCTAGAATGACAGGGAGCAGTTCAGTGTTGTTTGAAGAGAGGTAGGGAGGGGTGACAAAGGGCAGGAGAAAACATGTGGGGTAATGCAGTGGTCCCCAACCTTTTTGGCACCAGGGACCGGTGCTCCCATGAGCATCTATCTAATGCCTGATGATCTGAGGCGGAGCTGAGGCGGTGATGCTGGCACTAGGGAGCGGCTGCAAATACAGATGAAGCTTCACTGGCTCACCCGCTGCTCACCTCCTGCTGTGTGGCCCGGGTCCTAACATACTGGGGACCCCCGGGATAATGGATATACACCGCCTTGACTGTGCTGATTGTATCATGGGTATACACATATGCCAAAACTCATTAAATTGCACACTTTAAATACGTGCAGTTTATTATAAATCAATTACATCTCAATAAAACTTAAAAAAAAAATATGCTACAGCTTCCAGCCAAGATGGATTGGATTTACTCTCCTGATTCAAGCAATTAAAAAAATAGGCAAAATACATAAAACAATGGTTATAAGACACTGGACAGTACAAAAGAGTAACCCTCAAGAGAGAGGAAGCAAAGGCAGCGCGCCCAGCGCACCAGCTCACTGTCTGGAAAGAGTTTCCAGGCCTCAGCACAGAGACAGAAAACCCAAACAAAGCCTCAGTCTTTCTGAGATGAAAAGGCAGAGTCTGGAGTTGAGGGAGGCCAAGGGGCTAGAACTGAAAGGAGAGAGTACTAGAGAGGAGCGAGCCACTCAGAGCGAGCTGCAGAGATGTGCACAGGATTCTTTGTGAGGCTTCAGCTAAGCTCTGCTCCGCGCATGCATGTGAGGAAAGGGAAAAACCTACTGGAACGAAGCAGGCAAACAATCCCGCTGGCCGGCGCGGAAAAACCACCTAACCATGGCTCATCAAGTAAAGTCTTCGGAAGGAGACTATGCCAGGAGTGGGCCGGGCGAGCCTAAGACTAACGGCTGCTCTGGACTCTCGCCAACAAAGCTTAAAAGCAAACCCCGAAATGGAGCAAACCTATTCCAAGTAACTTAACCACGTCCCAGGACGAAGCTCAAAAATATCAAAAGGAAGAAAGGATTCAGCATCAAGCAATGTAAAATTCAACCAATTTTGTCAAAACTCAACTAATTTTGCCAAAACTGTCAACCAATCACAAATTACCAGGCATGAAAAGAAACAAACAAACCAACCAGGAAAATAGGACCCAAACCAGGAGAAAAATCAATACTAGAACATAGCTAGAAATTACATAGTTAGCAGAACAGATAAGAAGAAATCAGAAGAGAAATTACAAAATATTTTAAAGTGAATAAAAATAAACCACATATATCAAAATGCATTGCATGGTGTGAAAGCTGTGCTTAGAGGTAAATTTAGAGCATTAAACTCTTATTATTTTATAAAAGGAAAATTTAAAAATCAATGACTGGTAAAGGAAGGGAATGACCGAAAAGGAATAGCATGAGGGAACTTTCTGGCTGATGGAACTGTAGTGTATCCTAATTATGATGGTGCTCACGCAAATCCATACGAGCACTAAAATTCATAGAATCACGCACAAAAAGAGTTAATTTTACTGTATGCTAATTTTAAAAGTAATATAAATTGATTAGATTTAAAAATCAATGATCTAAACTTCCATCTTAAGAAACTACAGAAAGAAGAGTAAATTAAATCTGAAGTAAGCAGCTGAAGGTAAGAAATAAAGATAAGAACAGAAATTAACGCAATATAAAACAGAAGAACAATATAGAAAAATCAATGAAACCAAAAGAAAGTTCTTTAAGAGTACCAATAAAATTAATATAAAACTGATAAATTTCTAGCCTAACTGATCAGGAAAAAAAATGAAGACCTAAATTATCAATACCATGAATTAGAAAGAGACATCACTACAGATCCTAATGACATTAAAAGGATAATAAAGAAACATAATGAACAAGTATATGCCAATAAATTTGACAGTTTAGAAGAAATGACAAATTCCTTGAAAGACATAAGCTACCAAAGTTCTCTTCAAGAAGAAATAGATAAGCTTTAATAGATAGCCCTGTATCTACTGAAGAAATTAGATAAAGTAGATAAAAACCTTCACTCAAAGAAAACTCCAGATGGCTTTACTGGTGAATTCTACCAAATAGTTAAAAAAAAAATAAAACCAGTTCTACAAAAACTCTTCTGATGGCTTCACTGGTGAATTCTACCAAACAGTTAAAAAAGAAATAAAACCAGTTCTACAAAAACTCTTCCAGAAAATTCAGGAGGAGGGAATACTTCTCAATTTATTCCATAAGGTGAGCATAACTCTGAGAGTGAACAAGAGAATTACAAGAAGACCACAGACTATTATCACTCATGAACACAGATGCAAAAACCCTTAACCAAACTTCAGCAAATCAAATCCAGCAATGTATAAAATGTGCCTGTCACGTTAGATGGTAATAACCTAGAGTGAGTATCACCTGAAGGGATCAGAGAAAACTTCCTAGAGAAGGCAACTCTGAGAAGACCCTTGATAAGCAAGCGGAATTTCAACTGGTGGTGGCGATGGTGCAGAGAAATGGTAGGGAAAACCACAAACGAATACAAGAAGGTGGCTGACTAGCCAGGCACAGGCAGGCGTGCGGGCACTGGCTGGGGTGGCGGCCAGGCTTCCAAAGAGCCCCTTTCACTGAGAATAGTCCCAGCTACGTGCTCGGCCCATGGCGCCAAGTCTGCGCTATGCAACCCTGATCCCCCACCAAGCCTGACTGTTCCCACAGTGAGACATGCCATCAAGCGGCAGTGGTCACATCTCTTGCCCAAGAATTTGAAACCTGGATGAGGACAGACTCCCAGCCTGGGATTTGCTGGGGCCAAATCACGATCCACCTTGAGGGAAGTCCTCAGAGCTGGTCGGTTCCTGTCCATCCGTCAGCTTTTCAGTAACTTCTGGGACCCTGTAAGCCACCCCTCAGGGGCCTTCCCTATAGACTTCCCCTTTCAGTTAGGTTAATGTGAGGTGGTTTCTGTTGCTTGCAACCCAAAGAACATCTAAGAGTTCAATGAGTACCATGACGGCAAGTTTCTCTCTACAGAAGAGTTCGATCACTACATAAAAAGGTTAATCCCTGGGCCAGAGCCAAGGCTCTGTGAAGGGAAGTCAGGGGAATCAGATCAAATTGGAATAATGAATACAGTCTGGATATTCAAAATGACAGGTACGGGAGGGCGAAGTTTAAGGGCAAGAAGGCGCTAGAGGTTTCTGAACCAGGGAAGGACATGGTCAACGCAGTCTTACACAGGACTACCTCACAGTGCCATGGAGGATGGATTACAACACGTGTCTGATCCTTCGGGGAGGCTGTGAAATTGGCCACTGGAATGATGTGTCCATATTTCTCTTGCTCTTATGCCTTTGGTTGTCGCCTCGAGCACTCAGCTTAGAGCCAGGCACTGAGTCACACTCAGATAAATTCTGCTGATCAGAGGCTGAAGAGGGAGCAGTGACATTTGATGACTACATGTTGGGATCCAGGGAGGGAAGGAGCTAAAGGTCAAGGCAGTTTCAACCTTGGCTGGCAATTTCGACTGAACCAGAAATGGCAGGAAGTATGATGAGGTCAGGGTACGTTTACAAGGATGAGTGTGGTATAAACAGACTGTTTCAGGTGTTGCTGAAATACTGAAATAGAGTGTCCGACATGCAACCAGCAGGAGTTCCAGACTACAGAGCTGGAATGAGCAGGGGAGAAAAGGTGGGGGCCGGGGGAGTGGCAAGCGATCCACTGGTGAGAGTTGGTTAGTCTCAAGGAGGTCCCAGACACCAAGCTGGGAGCTGGAGGGGACGCAGGAAGCCATGAGGAGACTGTGGAGGGAGAAGAGCCATCATGGTGAGTCCTGTCGTAGTAGGAAAAGCCTGGAAATAGTATCAGTGCCGCCCAGGAAGGGAATGGCAGAGTAAATGATGGCACAGACACACGATTAAAAAGAAGGCAGTTCTACAGGGATGCGAAACGACGTGCTGATACATGACGATGTGAGAAGAACAAGGTATAGAACAGACAATAAATAAGGAATACTTCCTTTTATGTTTTTTTAAGAGGTGGCAGTTGTGGAGATAAAATCACATATACTCGTACTCGGACTATCTTTAAAAAGATACAAAAGAAACTGGTTACACGAACCGCTTCGAAGAAGAGCCAGAAGACAAAGATGGAGGGGAAACTTTCCTCACTATATATTCTTTTGCCACTAGTCATCTTATTTATCGTGATTAATGAGTTAAGAATGAATAAATGCTGCCTTATGTTGAGTGCTTTTTACATGTTTCTAGCCATAGGCTATCTTGGTAAAACACACCTCCACCTATTTCACAAAAAAGTTATGAAAAACCAACTAAAACATCCCTTGATGTGAAGTCCCATCTATGCCAAACCCAGCTCACAGGAATACTCTTGATTTCTTCTTTGAAGAGGCTCTGACATGAGGATTTCAGAACCTGCTCATGTCAAGCCAGGTGGGGCACACACCAGGCTGCTCCCAGGGAGGAAGTGAATGAATGAATCCTACTGACATCTGTCGGCTCTGCGGGAGTCTGACCCTGACCACGCAGCCTCAGCAGGGGAAGCCGGGGAACCACACCTTTCTTCGGAAAGGAAACTTGTGCTTCCACACAATCCGACCAGAGTCTATTTTAGCTCTGAACACAGAATGAGAACATCCACTATTATAAATAGCAAAACCAAGATTACAATTTGACTGATTTTGGTTCCGATGTTAGGAAAGAGGTCAGATGCTAAGGTAGGTGTAAAGCAAGGGGTCGAAAGAAAACCACAGTGTGAATACAGTCAGACTGGGTCAGTCGCACTTGAACCGTTTTTTTCCCCCGTACTGCCTGAGTAACCAATTCCTGTGGCTTTACTCTGTAGAAAAGCACCTGAGAAATTCTAACAAAGCTGAAGAGAAGTTCTGAGGGAGTCTGCCAACCAGAAAGAAAATTCCTCAAGGAAAGCAGCTTTCCTTCTTCCCTCCAAACAGCAGAGGGCAGCGATGCCAGGACGGCAGGTGAGGTGAGCGGGCTTACCTTTGTTATGAGACATGGCGTACAGGAGACAGAGCACGAAGAGCGCGTGGTAATCATCGTCCGGGCTGTCCAGGGCATGGTACACCATGTCCAGGAAGGGTCTGGGAAAAAGGAGGGACACTCATGAGCTTTGTGGTGCACATGGGTGAACAGCTGTCCTCTCCCACCTACACAGAGCTACCTGCCTTTCCTCTTACAGGTCTGCCACCAGCATGTGCGAGGCCACCATGCGCCCCGTCCAGCACCAGGCGCTGATGACAAGACAAATGAGCGACAGCTCAGCCCGTGGGAAGCTACTATCTCAAGGAGAAACTGGCTGAGGAACAGGCCACTTAATCATTCTGCAATCGTTCACCAGCGGTCCCAGACATCAGGGATAAATGATACCGAGTTCCTGCTCTTGTGGCACTCCCGTGCCAGTGGGCAGAGACAGAGAACAGACAGACTGTATCGTCACTTCAAAGAGCGACAAGAGAATGAGGAAAACGGGGTAATGTGGCAGACTAACGACACCAGACAAGGCACCAAGTCGGAACAATTTCAGAACGTGGGCTCTGGAACCGGACTGCCGGGGTCCAAATTCTGATCCTGCTCCTTCTTAGCTGCAAACCTTTGGGTTAGTTGTCTAAAACCTCTCCTTATAGACGGAGATTAAACCCTACAAAGTTATTATGAGGATCCGAGTACAAGGAAAATGGAATGGCTTTTAACATAGGGCCAGGTACGCAGTGGAAAGTGCTAGGACACAGGATCTGCCATTTGATTTCTAGTTTGAATATTTCAAGGACATTTCTCCATGATCTCATTTTGGTAGGTCCTGGCCCAGCAATTTCTTGGACCGACTTTCCCTGACTGGTGAGAATCAATGAGATCTCTCACCACGGATGCTTTGTGGGTAAGATCTATAGAGTGGCTGCAGATATCACAAACCGCACACCCCAAATGCTGCCTTTCCAGGTGAAAGGCGGAAAACTCTCCAGCACAAGGATAGTAGAATATGCACAGATCTGGCACGGAGGCAGGAGGCTCTGATCCAGTGACCACCTGTGGCTGCCCCCTCTGGATGCCAGGTCGAAGCTGAGAGAGCACAGTGCCTCGATGGGTGACCAAGGGCACACTTGACCCCTGGAAGGATACACAGCCACTGTCAACATCAGCTGTTGGGGGGAGTGACACAGTGAGGCAGAGAAGCAGGGAGACCGGTCATTGCATAACCTTTTATACTCTCGAATTTCGAACTCCATAGATGTACCATTGATTCAGAATATTACATTGAAAAATGTAAAAGAGAAAGTAGTGAAAATGTACTTCTCATACATTTCAAATAAACATGGGATACACAGAAATTACAGGAGGAACCTTAAAGGGGACGTTTATATTTGGGCCCCAGACCAAGCATCCCTAGACCTTTCAGACTCGTGAATAGTTTTGCCACGTGTGCATATGGGTTCTTATGAGCCCACAGCGATAACACTTTCAAATTAAGAGTGCAATAAAGGAGAAAATGTTTTCTTGTAAACCAGCTGCTTAGAGTTTGGATTGTATTTTCATTTGGGAATAATACAAAAAACCAAACGCCCAGTAGCAGAAGGCGGCCTGGGTGGATGTACCATCTGTTATGAAATGAAGTATTATGAAGCCATTAGCATTTTGTTTACTAAGAGTCCAATAAAGTGAAAAAGATGCTTGGTGTTTGCTATTAGACAGAAAAAAAAAAAGAAAAATGAGATATGGTATGGTATAAGTTATTGGGGAGATAGAGGGGAGAATTCCCACTAAATTGGCATTGAAAGATGACTAACAGGAAATAACCAAAATGTCAGTAACAGCTGCCTTTAAATGCTGGCATCATGGAAACCTTTTTTCCCCTTCTTTATACGTTTCAAGATTTTTTTTTTTTATATTTTCTGAATGTGTGTTAATTCTATAATTTTTTAAAGCCTTTTTTTTTTTTTTTTTTAAAAAGAGCGTTTTGAATGGTTTTTAGTTTCTTGGCCCATATTTAAACCTGAATGCAGATATAGTCCATAATGTAGGAACAGTTACGTTCTGTACTAGGCTGTTTCTTCAGACAAGTGGCCCAATGTCAAGATTCAATTCATGTCAAGGAGAACAAACTGTCCCCTCCCTCACCCTCAGTGCCTTCCTCCCTGCTCAGTGCCGGGAACTGGGAGGACAGAGTCCTTGGCGGTGTTTCTGACAACCGACAACTCAATACCTTTGCAAAGGAGAAGGCAACTCTCCACCTGGGCCGGTCTCTCCTTGGCATTCAGTCTCATAGCAGAGAAGGACTCTGGCCCCAAAGTTCCCGGGGCCTTAAGCCTGAATGTGGCCCAACTCAAGGCACCAGGAACAGCTTCCATTATAAACCACGTGGCAGAAGATGCCATTTAAAGCTACTGAAAGTTAAGGAACAATCTCAAATCAACTCTAAGAAAAACCTCTCTCCACTAAAATTCAAGAAAAAAAGGAAGTCTCAACCCCCACATACAAACATAACGTTTTGGTATATGCACTTTGTTTTTTCCTCCACAATATATGGGTATTTTTCATCCTTTAGCAAAGATATAGTGTTACTATATTATGTAAAAAATGTGCTGTTTCTATTTATTAGATTCTAAGAAACTGAACACATCATGACAGTATTCACTTAAAAGCAGCAGCTAATATTCTATTAAGCAGAGGCCCCTTCATTCGCTTAAGCATCCCCCACTTCTAATCATTTGTGGTTTTTCCAATTATTCATATTCTAAGTAATGCTGCGTCCAGCACCTGAAAGTTGTTTTCCCCTCCCTTTCTGTGTTTAGAATGATTTCTTTAATTTTCAGAGCTTTAGGAGTCATTTTTGCTGCCAGGCAAAATCAAAAAGGTCTTTGTAAGCTACAACAACCAACAGCCCATACCACACTCCACACTTGTGTTTTATTTAACCAAAACTAAAAATGGCTCCCTTGTGCATTTGATAAAAATTAATCTTGTCAGACAACTGAAACATTTGCCAAGCAGAGAGATAAACAAGATGTGGAGGAAAAAATTAGTGTGTTTCAACTCTTCACTTCAAGTTGGATGAATAAATCCAGCTTGGATGGGGGTGTGAGTTCGGCCACCCCACCCCGCGAGTTCAGGAAGTGAATGCCTTGTAGGCTGACAGAGAAATCATGCTGTTACCCATTTATTAACATTAGAGTAGGATTAAGAGGTTATGACAGGGGTCTGTGCAGTGGAGCCACTTGACGGGAAAATAATACCAAAATAAAGAAGCCCTCCTAGCTGTTCACTGCACACTTGGGGAGCAGCTCCTACCCCAGTTGATTCTGAAAGGGGTGGTGCTACAGCGAGGTTCCAAGAAACAGGGCATCTCAAAGGTTTAAGAGGATGTCGCTTTGGCAGGCCATCACTGAAATGAATAATCAGGCACAAAGTCAGAGGTGGACAGCAGCATTAAATCATACCGGCTGAGTCATGAGGGCAGGCTGTGTGGACGGTGGTGTGTGTGGCAGCGAATGAATGAGACAGGGAGATCCAAACGCTGCTCCCAAGGGCAACCTTCCTGGGAGCCATAGAGCATTGCCAGGAGTGGCCAAGACCCTTCAGGAGAGGACCCAGCACCAACAGTGCTTGGGGGTGGTGACGCCATGTCTCCATCATTCTCTTTCCAGGGGGTGAGCACTGCAGTGTTGAGTGCCAGCTGTGCTTATGCCTCTCGAGAGGAGCTGGGCCTCTGGCAGCCAAGGGCTGGAGAAGAGGAAAGGGCAGGAAGCGAGACGGCTTGGCTGAGAGGCCGAAGAGGCCATTTGGGTGGTGGGAAGAGGCCGTGGACTATCCATACCCTCACGCGCGTACCCTCAGGAGCCCAGCTCCTGCTCCCAGAGACTGAGCAGTAGGTACCCCCGCCCCGCCGGGCTGGCTCGTGGGCAGCCCCGCCACAGCACAGGCGCAGTAGGGCTGGGCCTCTGGGTGGCTGGCTACCTGCTCCACTGCACACTCCCCAAGCCCGTGGCGGCGCTCTTCTCCTCATCCGTGGTGTTCTGCTCCTGCACGGAGGTGCTGGCCAACTCCGGGAGCTTGCTGCGCTCCATGATCACCATCTCTATCTCTGGAAGCAAATGCAGAGACCAGGATGAGCCCGGACAGCGTCCCAGACCTCGGTTTACAGACATGCTCATGCTCACGTTCCGGATGAAGCCCCAGGGAACTACTGCTATCACATCAGCAAAGGTTCAAGAGCGGCGACAGGAGCACCAGCAACGCGCTGCGGGAGAAATAAGACACTGGCCAGAGCCTCTCTGTCCTTGCATCCCGGCGTCGCCAGGAAACAAGGCCCTGATTTTGACAAGAAAGCGCACAAATTGCAATAATTTGTTTTATTTCAAGGTTTTTTGTTTTTTGTTTTTTTAAAGGTATTTATTTTACTTTATTGATACCACACTTCCTTCCTTCCCAAAGGAGTTGAGGCAGCATAGAAGAAATATGTGGTTAATAAAACATAACCAAATGCGCTGAAAATATTCTGAAACTATTTACGCTTTAGAAGAGGCTTTGACATGACCGAAGCCATTTGTTTTCCCTTTCCATTTACAACTTCCGGAAGGCAGAGAGAGGTTAGGAGCCATGTTTTAGTTTTCCCAATTAAATAAGTGCTACTTGTAGCAACCAACTTCAGCATGGAGCACATTTTACTTTTCAGAAAAAGGTACGCACAACAAAGGAAAACATCTTGAATTAGAGGTGGATGGTTGTTGCGCTGTAAGGTGTCCCTGTTACAGACGCTGCCACACAGGTATAATAAATAGACCTTCACAAAGATCCAAGTGATTTTCAGCGGAAATTAGCTCATGTCACCCTTCTGCTCAAAACTCCCCGCTGCCTTCCCATCACACTCAAGATGAAATCCAAATGCCTCCAGCGTCAAAGCCTTACACGGCCTGGCTCCTGTCCACCTCTGACCTCACCTCCTGGCCCCCTCCACCTGGCACCGCTCCAGCCGTGCTGCGCTCTTCTCATTCTCATGAGATTGGCCCAAGCTGGTTTCTGCCCCGGGATCTTTACATGGCTGTTTCCTCTGCCTGGGATGCTCTCTCCCCACGTCTTCCCAACCCGGGCGTGACTCAGTCCCACCATTCAAGGCTCAGCTCAACTGTCACCATCTCAGAGACATCTCGGACACCCTTTCCACCTGTTTCTCCTTTACCTCTTCAAATTATTATTAACTAAACTCCATACGTCATTCAGAGTTCCTCAATGCCCTTTTTCTGTTCCAGAAACCCATGCTAGGATACCAACTACATGTATTTGTCATGACTCTTTAGGCTTCTCTTGACTGTGACAATTTCTCAGATTTTTCTTGCTTCTGATGACCTTACAGTCTGAGGAGCACTGGTCAGGTCTTTTGTAGAATGTCCCTCAATCTGGGTTTGTCTGACGTTTTTCTGGTAATTAGACAGGGGTCAAAGGTTTCCGGGAGAAGGACCACACAGAGGGGAAGTGGCCCTGTAATTAGACAGGGGTCAAAGGTTTCCGGGAGAAGGACCACAGAGGGGAAGTGGCCTTCTCATCATACCGCATCAAGGGTCCAGGGTACCAGCATGGCTCATGACTTCTGACGTTCGCCTGCACCACTGGGCCCAGTGAACGCTGCTCCTCACGTTTCTCCACTGGAAGGTCCCTTCCCTCCTCCTTTCATCCCATACTCTTTGGGAGCAAGTCGTTAAGCGCAGCCTACACTTGAGGAGTGGGGAGTTCTAACTCCTTGAAGGGCTAAATTATTTGGAATTCCGCATAGATTTGTCCCTTCCCCTCTTATCTTGATTTTACTTTATAGCATTTATAACTACCTGGATTTTCTATTTATTGGTTTGCTTGCTGCCTGCCTGCCTGCCTTCTCCTACTAGAATGTGTGCTTCAGAAGAGTGGCCGCCTTAGCTGCCATGTTGTCTTCCAGAACCCATGTCTAGTCCAGGGCCTGGCACTTGGCGAGTATTCAATAAGTATCTCTGGAATGGATGAATGGCTGACTGCTCTAACTCAGCGCAGGAGCTTCTGGCTGTAGGCAGGGCGGGCAATGACGCATGGCGGCTGCGACAGGTCGCGGAGTGATCCATAGCCCCACCCAGCCTGCAACCCATTCGTGCACAGTGTTCTCACAGGGAGGCATTGCATCGCTAACACTCTTCTGGGACTCTGTTAGGGTGCTTGAGGCCACCCACTGGCATGGAGGAGTGCGCCCCCCACATGTCCGCACAGAGCCAGACCTCGGGGGACAGTGGGGAGGCCGCCCCTCACCAGCCACTTCCCTCCCACTGTAATCTGGAGTCAGATACCACAGATCAAAGTGTTACAGGGCCATCTCCCCCTCACAGGGGTGGGGCTGACACATGCTTTTTAAGTGGTACATAGACGAACATTTTGTTTGCATAGTCTTATATTTATTTTAATAAACGTTAGAAGGAAATTCTAATTGCACACAAAAAACAACCTGTTCTTTTGTGGATATTACTGCTTAGGATGAGGCTAAACTTAAGAAATAAAAAACAAGAGGGTGAATCACGGAAAGCTATTGAGTGCACAGTAGCTGAAGTAGCGCATGAACACGGCAAAGGGCAGGAGGCGGGGCAGACCACCGTTTGGGAACCAACGATCTTCTCTGTCCTGGCATCTTCACCTCCACCAACCTCCTCCAGGTGCCTCTCAGCTACCCCGTCCTCACGGCAGGGCGCACACACCTCAGTGGGTGTGCAAGATGATCCCCTGGGCAGAACCTCTTTCATTTTTCATTATTCTCATCTTTTAAAGAATCTATTTTGTTTTATAATGTATATACCATTAGCACAGTAATGCCAAATGTATAATTCTTAATAAATAAATGTATGTATATATTTGAGAGATGCACGCTCATGTATTTATTTGTGTTTATTAATAAGGCATGCCAACGAAGACACCTGAAGACTACAAAGCTAGACCACGGCACCAGCTTCCCACTCTGGTTTCTGCCCTGTGACCTTTGAGCCGCCTCCCAGCCAGGTTGACAAGGGAAAAACTCAGCTCCAAGAACCAGCCCCCGCAGGTTACAAGGCCAAGCCCGAGTGACTCAGCCTGGAGAATAAGCCAGCTTCTTTTTAACAATTTTATCCCAACAACTCTTAAAAGTCGTAATTCTTACCTATAGCCTGCCAACTCTGAAACTGTATGCAAAATGCTGTATGGGCATGACAGGAGTGGGTAATAGGGTTTTGGAGAGAGGGTCTTCCAGGTTCTCACTGCTCTAAAATAAATTCTACAGCCATCTTTAAAAGAGGATCTGACCTTTCCTTGTAATCCAGAGACAGAGTGAACCCCTCCTTATGCCACACCAGAACACCCTGGCATGGTTCTGCATGGCTTTCTAAGCCCTCTGCCCGCCTCTCCCTGCTGACACCATGCCTGCTTCAGTGTGGCCCAGCTCCCCTCCCGGGGTGCACACGCCACGCTGCTGCCACTGGGGAAAGCAGATCGGTGGGCTCGTGTGGACTCAGATTTCCACTGACAGTCACCAAGGCCAAGACTCAGGCCCTGATGATAAATTCCCAGGGGGCTCCCTCTGAACCTCAGTTATTATACCATGAGCCCGCACCTCAACCAGGTTTTAATCTGGAGTATGAAGGGACTACAGCAATAACCTAGACTACTTTGGCTCAAACTTCAGTCACCTGCCTGCCTTTACAATTTTTGCCATGTCTCTGTGTTGTATTATTTGTTATTTACTTAATCATTTTATTTGAATTCACTTTTTGAAACCTAAATACATTTAAGAAGAAACTATCAATTAAAAAAGAATTTCTTTAAAGAAATTGTTTAAAAAAGGACATTTTAAATCACTATTATCCCCTTCAACCTAGCAATCACGTTTGTAGGAATATTTATCTGGAAGATATGCCTCCAATAAAACGAAAATGCACACGCACTAGGGTGTTCGCTGTGGTATTATTTGTCATTGCAAAATACTGGAAACTACCTAAATGTCCAAGCATAAAGATTAACTGAACGAAGTATGGTACATGCACACAGGGCAGCTGTAAAAGGAACTGAGGAAGACTTCTGTGAACTGATACGGAGCGATTTTCAGAGATATTGCTGAGTGAAGCGATCAGAATGCCAAAGAGCATGTACAGTGTGCTACCCTGTGTGTAAGGAAGAAGGGAGAATGAAAAACATACACACGTACACTTCTTTTTACAAAAAGAAACAGGAAGGATATTCCACAAAACGATCAAGTTCCTTATCTACAACAGGCAGGGGGAACAATATGGGAGAGTGAGACACTCTTTTAAACATACTTTTGGCATGGTTTTGAATTTGTTAATATTCTATATAGAAAAAGAAATTAAATCAACAAAAATGGGAAGGAAGAACCCCAAATGGAATAATAAAAAAAAAGACCCAAATTTATGTCAAATGAATATTGGACCTGCCCTGAAGGGGAAAAGAAAAAAGGATAGACTATTCCAAATAGTTTACGAACACAATACTTGACTCTATCTATACCTTTGGTTTGGGGGCAGATGAAGTATTAGGGGTGGGTGGGAATTGCAAACAATTCTGAATTCTTTATTTATTAAATAAGAAACAATTCTGAAACTTTTTAGATGTTATATATAGAATATATACGTGTAGAATATAGAATTGAGAGAATAAATCTATTGATGCCGATGGGAGCTAGAGCTCTCACTGTGGAAAAAGGAAAAACATATAAATCTGAAATGGAGGAAGGCAGGACAGAGCCCTCTGGGAACTGATCAGAATTTAGAGGTACTGGTATGAATATGTGATTTCTAAAATACAGATATGCATGTTTGAAGGTATGTATATGTATACATGAATAAATGTTTATTTTGTGTATATATATGCATGTATTTCCTAGATCTGTCCATTGAAAAGGCCAAAAAGCAAGACAGCCCAGTAGCGAAGAGCACATCCAGTGCCCAGATCTTGACCTCTAATACCATCGCCCATTGAGAGGAATGAGGGCTTTTCAGAGAAATGGCTAATCCCAGGGATGGGCAGAGTAGGTACAAGATGAACCTAGAATACCTTGTTATGCCACAAAGTGTAAAGACTGCATGAAGAAATGATGGGGCCTTATCACAAGGACACAGCAGCCAGTTTGAAAGGGTTCCCAACGGCCAAATCTGGGACAATCTGAGTATCAAGTTAATTAAATATAGTAATGAAATATAAACCA